TGCAGTGAGCCATGATTGTGCCACGGCACTCCAGCCTGGGTGACAGAGCGAGACCCTGACTAAAAGAAAAAAAAAAATTGAAGCATACGTCTTATAAATAATATACTATGTATCCTCCAGGTGAATATTGAGGGATTGCCTTTCCGCCCACTGTCTTAGACCCTGGAGAACCAGCAGGAGTCATAGAAACACAGCCGGAGCTGAGAGAGCACATGGGGATGCCACACTTGAGGGAGACAGCTGCAGGTGCAGGTGGGCGGTCCAGACAGAAGGGCATTCTGCCCCACTGTGATGGAGGGCAAACAACACTGAGCTAGAAAGGGAGGTGACGCCAGGAGGAGCCAGAGCATGAAGGGCCTCATAACCCATGGTCGGAATCTGTCCCAAGGGCAGTGAGAGAGGAAGAAAGTACCAGTCTCATCTCACCCTTTGGAGAAGGGCTGCTGCTGGCCTAGATCAAGGTCAAAGTGGCAGGGAATGAAATGGTCAGGTGAACACTTTTTTAGGGAGGCAGAATCAGCATGATTCCATGATGACTGATTGTGGGCCCTTCCCAAATATGAGAGCTGAACTCACCTGCCAAAGGGCAGCCCTAGGGACCCATGTCTTGTCAAGGAGGGCTTTGAAGTTGCACAATTAACAAAGGCCAGAGGACAGGTGACTGTTCAGCTATTTTGGTCCCCTCCATGAGCTCAGATATCAAGAAGCTAAATTGGTGCAGGAATAGTGGGTGTTCCTTGCTCATAAGTACCTGGAAAGTGTTGGGGAGCCAGGCTAGGGAGGGGTGTGGCTGGTGAATAGGAGACAAGGAGTCAGGTGATATTTTTGTTCTGAAGGTCACCCACCCCTTCATCTACCAGGCACTGGGCTAGGCATCAGTATGAGTGCTACATTCTGCCCACGTAGAACTTTCACTCTATTAGAGAAAACAGTAAAGCAATCAGTATGATACATGCTTTGAAGGCATATGCCAGAATGAGACTGGGATGATCATGGAATCCTGGAAGAAGTGATGTCTTTTTTTTTTTTTTGTCAGAGTCTCACTCTGTCGCTCAGGCTGGAGTGCAGTGGCATGCTCACGGCCACCACAGTCTTGACCTCCTGGGCACAGATAATCCTTCTGTCCCAGCCTTCCAAGTAGCTAGAACCACAGGCTTGCACCACCACGTCTGGCTAATTTTTTGATTTATTGTACAGACAAGGTCTTGTCCAGTTGCCCACCGCTGATCTCAAGCAATCCTCTTGCCTTGGCCTCCCAAGGTGCTGGGATTACAGGTGTGAGCCACTGTGCCTGGCCAAGATGTGATGTCTTAAGCAGAGACTAGTAGCATAAGAGATAGCCAGAAGAGGAAGGGAGGATAGTTGAGGCTGCAGGAAAAGCAAGGGCAAAAACTGTTTTTTTAACCCTAATTAACCATGATATTTAACCCTAAATCTGATATTTAACCATAATATTTAACCCTAAATCTGATAATTAACCATGATATTTAACCCTAAATCTGATATTAACCATGATATTTAACCCTAAATCTGATATTTAACCATGATATTTAACCCTAAATCTGATATTTAACCCCTTGATGCTATCTCTGGTGCTAGGCCCAGAGGTGAGAAAGAGCATATGTTAAGACCTTAGACTGCAAAGGGACAGGGATCAGAGTTAAAGCTGGAGAATGACTTGGCTATCAGGGGACTTGGCATTCCCATCAAGGATTGCAGATTTCATCCCGAGAGTCCGGAAAAGTCACTACAAGATTCTAAGCAGGGAATTGACTTGATCCAAGTCCTTCACTCTGCCTGTGGCTGGAGAATGGGCAAGACTAGAGGCGGGAGGGCCCGTCAGGAGGCCGGAGGCAGCAATGCAGGGCAGAGGTGGTGGTGGCCGGAGCTACCGTGGTGACAGCTCCCGCTAAAAAGCACTTCTGACCTCAACCAGAGGCAACAGAAGTCTCGGTGTGAGGGGCAGGGTTGGGGAGGGAGCTCAGGACTGTAATGAAAACCCCTCAGGCTCCCACTAGCCTCTTTGGGCCCTTGGAAACAGAAGCTCATCTTCCCACTAAAGACTGTTCCCTGAGCCCACCTGCTTCCAAAACCATCTCAGGTTCTTGCCAGGAGCCACACTAGCAATCAGTTGAATGCGCCCTTTCCTGGGAGGGCTGTGAGTGCCTTTTGTCCAGCCCACCACTATCATCTGGATTGGTGTGGAAAGCCAGGCCTTCTGACCAGGGCAGGGCTGGCCTAATACATTTACCTTTGGACCAGGCTAGTCCCAGGTGTTGGGGCATCAAGTAGGAACTCAGAAGAGATCATTGAACGACTAGGTGGGTGGTGGCTCCTCAGCCCCAGGGGTTCCTGTCCATCTTCCTTTAAAGTCTGGAAATTGGGGTCCCTTGAGAGACTACTCCATTTTTTTCTCTGTCAGGCCAGGAAGTAACTCCAGTCCACCCCACTACCCACTTGATCCCAGAACTGGAAGGCTCATAGCTCTGGGTTACCCCAGAGATGGTGTCAGGGCTCACCCTGTTGGCTTTGTCTTGCTTCTAGCTGTGCATACAGCAAACACAGCCCCTTGGGTCATTCCATCAAACCCCATCAGGGCTTCAAACAGAGAAACCATGACTGGTTCTGCACGGAACAGCAGGAAGCCACTCTTCAGGTCAAAAGACCCATTGGACCTTGCCAGCAGAGATTCATGGTGGAGACACCCATCCTTTTGGCTGCTTATTTGTGGAGAAACATGGTTGTGAGGAATTTTTTTTTTTTTTTTGAGTTGGAGTCTCACTCTGTCGCCCAGACTGGAGTGCGGTGGCCGCTCCCGGCCACTGCAGCCTCCACTTGCTGGGCTCCGGTGATCCTTCCGCCTTAGCCTTCCGAGTAGCTGGAATTACAGGCACGCGCTACCACACCTGGCTAATTTTTTTTATTTATTGTAGAGATGAGGTCTCACCTGCCCAGGCGGGTGGGTCTCGAACCCACGGGTTCAGGCAATTCACTCACCTCAGCCTCCCAAAGGCGCGGGATTACAGGCTGAGTCACCGAGCCCGGCTGGTTGTGAGGAATTAAGCAAAGAAACATAGCCTAAGCTAGAGCTTGAAGAGTGCATACAATTTCCTGATTATTTTTTTTTTGAGTTGGAGTCTCACTCTGTCGCCCAGACTAGCGTGCAGTGGCCGCTCCCGGCCACCACAGCCTCTACCTGCTGGGCTCCAGTGATCCTTCTGTCTCAGCCTTCCAAGTAGCTGGACCTACAGGTGCACGCCACCATGCCCGGCTAATTTTTTGATTTATTGTAGAGATGAGGTCTCACCAAGTTGCCCAGGCTGGTCTCGAACCCGAGGGCCCAGGCAATCCTCTCACCTCAGCCTCCCAAAGGGCTAGGATTATATGCATGAACCACTGTGTCCCCTGATTTTTTTACAGCACAAGATTTCAGGGCACCAACTCAGGTCTGTGTCCAAGAAAGCATATGCAGGAGCAAGTATCACAGTGAGAAAAACTTTGGGGACTCACCATTCCTTCATCCAAAGCCAGTCACAGGGGAAGGCAAGAGTTTGAATGTTGGTCTCACTCTTTGCAGTGCAAAGGTGAAATGGGTCAATTTCAAACTCTAAACACCCAACCCAGGAGATGTGGCTGCTGGCAGGCTGGAAGGTTCCGTGGGTCCCTTTGAATGTGGATGTTGATATTGCATGATGGATAGACAGAATGAATAGTATTTTGAGAAAAGGAAGCTTTTACTTGTCTGTCCTTTTTCCATCTTCTAACCTTCATCCCCTTGCAAGAAGAAAAAAATCTAAGTGTCGTGTTGGAAATGGCCTACACACACTTGGAAGCCTTGTGGTAAACTAACAAAAGCTTTATTATGGTTTCCTTCATTAAAAAATGGGGCATTGACTGACAGCTTGGACCCCTGGGCTCACCCCACGTTAAGCAAAGTAGCCCCATAGAAAGATGGCGCAGCTGATGCAGACAATGAGGTTGACGTCTAGGAGAGTTTTCACAAGGGGGTTTTCTTCCAGGGAAATTATGACGGGTTCCACTTTGCTTGGGGGCTCCTCCTTGCCCTTGTCCTGAAGTCCACAGAGCCACAGGATGGCCTCTACCACTTTGGACCGCTTCGGGGTCACTTCACCTAAAATTAGGAACCCAGCAAAGAAAAGTCATAGAGATGGGTGATGTCTCCCAGAGAAGACACTCACCAGGTGTACCTCCATGCTCTGCAATAAGGTATCAATGAATACCTTTTTCTGGAAGGTATTCATGAACACCTCAATTCTGAAAGATTATTCTTTCTAGGAGATTGATATTTTCTAAATTTCCACCATTTTCAGATGAAGAAATCGAAGCTCAGACTAACTAACTTGAATGAAGCCACCCAGCTGGGAAGCAGTGACAGAGGTGGGGTTAGGACCCTTCTCTGTTATTCCTTCCTCCGTGTTGCATTGCCTTCCAGGAGGCTGAAGAGAAATGAGTACTCTTTTTTTTTTTTTTTTTTTTTTTTAGTCAGAGTTCACTCTGTCGCCCAGGCTGAAGTGCAGTGGCATGCTTACAGCCACCGCAGCCTCAACCTGCTGGGCTCAGGTGAACCTTCCGTCTCAGCCTGCCAAGTAGCGGGAACTATAGGTGCAAGCCACCACACCCGGCTAATTTTTTGATTTATTTTAGAGACGAGGTCTCACCATGTTGCCCAGGTTGGTCTCAAACCCATGGGCTCAGGTAATCCTCTCACCTCGGCCTCCCAAAGTGCCAGGATTATAGGCTTGAGTCACTGCACCTGGCCATTTTCCAATTTTTCAAGAGAAGCTAGAAATCTGGAATTTTATGTGAAATCTCCCAATTTTAAAATATTAACTCGTGTTTTATTAAAACAGTCGGTAGGCTAACCCAAAATATGCCGACAAGTTGCCAGTTTGAAACCACAAATTTAGAGAATGCTAGCAGTGCTCCAGCCTGCCACATGGGCTGCATGAGGACTGAGTGAGCCATGTTTCATGGATATGGTACAGTGTTTGCTATTGTTGCCCAACTGAGGTTTCTGATGAGAGTTTCTGAAGAACACCTTTTCCGTGGCCAGAGAGTGGGGAAGGACCAGACAGACTTGGGGAAGGCTAACACTCCAAGTCTGTCCTCTTTTCTGACTTGTGGTCCTACAGAAAAGCATTCTCCTTAAACGCATAATGCTTTTTGAGGCTCCTACTCTGAGGAGAAAAGCAACTCACAGCCATGGGTTTTGGATGTGTTTTCTTGAACAATCTCGAACTGGATGCTGGTGCTGCTGGTCTCTGGTGTCTCGTTCTGAGAAAGGGTGAGAGGCAAGGGAGTTGCTGGTGGCACCTCTTCCTTCTGGACCATGGGGTCATGACGAGTAAACCAGGTCAGGTGACTGACCTAAGGAGCAGAGGTGAGTTGTGAGACTTAGGAGGAGAGTATCATCCGTTTCTCGCACTCCCTGCCCAGCCCTATGCTCAGTCTTCATGTCTGAGTCTGCTCCCAGCCTCACCATCTCACCCTACCCTCCAACAAGCATCACCTCCCTGCACAAACCAGAATCAATAGACATTTCCTCCACTCATTCTCCATCTTTCTCTTTCTTTCTTTCTTTCTTTTCTTTCTTTCTTTCTTTCTTTCTTTCTTTCTTTCTCTCTCTCTCTCTCTCTCTCTCTCTTTCCTTCCTTCCTTCCTTCCTTCCTTCCTTCCTTCTTTTTTGAGTTGGAGTCTCACTCTTGTTGCCAGGCTGGAGTGCAATGGCACTCACAACCACCGCACCCTCAACCTGCTAGGCTCAGGTGATCCTTCCTTCCACCTCAGCCTTCCAAGTAGCAGGACCTACAGGCTCGAGACACCCCACCTGGCTAATATTTTGGTCTGTTGTAGAGATGAGGTCTCACCAAGTTGCCCAGGCTGGTCTCAAACACCCAGGTTCAGGCAATCCTCTCGCCTCGGCCTCCAAAGTGCTGGGATTACAGGCTGAGCCACTGCGCCCGGCCCATCCTCCCATCTTTTTTCGATAACCCTCATCCTTATGTTGGGATCTCATCCTCCTTCATTCTAGTCTTAGACCTTAACCCTGACCCAAGACTCCTGAGCCAGGGACTGTTTCAGCTCATTTGTATCTCTGGCCACAGGGACTGAATTGGTTCATGGATGGGCTTGTGTCCTGAGATGGCTCCATCAATGGGAATCAAGAACTTTGCCAGAAATCCCAGGACAGAAATGCTTATGTTGACTTAATGACAACAAAAAGGCTATGTTCGGAAGCTGCTCGGGCCACCATGGGGCCTGAGAATCGAAGCAGAAATGAGAGATGGATTCTGAGGACCTTTTCAGAGTTCTTAAACATTCTATCCCCAAAGCCTAACCCTGGACTTCTCAGCTTTTTGAACAATCAATCCCCTTTGCTTAAACCTGTTTGGGTCAGTTTTCTGTCCCTTGCAACAAAGAGTCTCAACAGATACAGCCGTTAACCCGAATGTACCATCTCTTTGGAGGGTGGCTCTGTGAGCCAGCTCACGGTTGACACGGTGATCAGGGTGGCCGTGGACAGAATCATGGAGAAGTAGAGGTAGTGAATGTTCTTCACCACAGCCGGGCGCTCATCTGGCTGGTCACACCGAGGCTGCACGTAAATGAAGTCCAGAACCAGCCTAACCAGTCCTAGGAGCAGGCCTGAGATCAGACCTGAGAAGGCACCCTGTAAATTAGAAGAAAACCATCTTAGAGACAAGGGCTAAGGCCTCTAGAAACCTCAAGAAGCCATCTCAAGGGCTTGTCTTTCTTGTGACGGTCATTGCATGGGTCAGTAATTTGGAAAGATTCAGAGTTACTTATTCATTTGTCTTTTTTTTTGAGTCAAGGTCTCACTCTGTTGCCCAGGTTGGAGTGCAGTGGCATGAATACAGCTCACTGCAGCCTCGACGTCCTGGGCTCAGTTGATCCTCCCACCTCAGTCTCCTGAGTAGCTGGGACTACAAGCATATGTCACCATGCTCAGCCAATTTTTTGATTTTTTGTAGAGACAAGGTCTTGTTATGTTACCTAGGCTGGTCTGAAACCCCTGGGCTCAAATAATCCTCTTACCTTGGCCTCCCAAAGTGATAGGATTATAGGTGTGAGCCCTCCCACTACCTGACCACCATTATACATGATGAATCAATTATATATAATTTACTCATTCCCTGTTAATTTGGCTTTCATGTTCCATGACCAAAATGCATCAAGATGCATCAGAGAAGCTGGGCTTGGTGGCTCAGCCTGTAATCCCGCGCCTTGGGAGGCTGAGGTGAGTAGATTGCCTGAGCCCGGGGGTTCGAGACCTGCCTGGGCAGGCGAGACCCCATCTCTACAATAAAATCAAAAAATTAGCTGGGCGTGGTAGCGCGCGCAGGTAATTCCAGCTACTCGGAAGGCTGAGGCGGAAGGATCGCCGGAGCCCAGCAGGTCGAGGCTGCGGTGGCCGGGAGCGGCCACTGCACTCCAGTCTGGGTGACAGAGTGAGACTCCAACTCAAAAAAAAAAAAAAAAGATACATCAGAGAACCTCTCGTTCCTTTTTTTCCAAAGGCCAGAAAACTCCCTCCCTGTCTCTCACTAGAGCTCACCTAGTCCAGCTTCATGCCTCTCTCTAGCAGTCCCTCCAGCCCCGAGGGGAAATGCCTGGTTCTTACACAGTGGGGGCTGAGGCAGAGCTACCTTTTCATTGGTCCGTTTCCAGAAACATCCCATGATGAAGACCACCGCCACAGGTGGCTGCAGATAGGAGCTGATGGACTGGATGTAAATGAAGAGCTGACCACCCTGGCTGGCCTGGACCACAGGGATCCAGAGGATGGAGACCAGCACCAGCAGCAACACAAACACCCTGGTGCCAGACAGAGAGGGACACAACTTAGTGTTGTCTTTCCTGAACATTTACTTGTTCTTTTTTTTTTTTTTGAGTCAGGGTCTAGTTCTGTGTCCCAGGCTAGAGTGGCACAGTGATACAATCCTAGCTCCCTATAGCCTAGAACTCCTGGGCTCAAGCCATCCGCTTGCCTCAACCTCCCAAGAAGCTGAGAGTACAAGCATAAGCTGCCATGCCTAGCCTCTTTCTCTTTTAATAAAACAGACTTATTGAGGTATAATTTATATACTATAAAATTCACCCACTGTAAGTGTACAGTCCAGTAGTTTTTAATAAATGTATAGGCTGGGCTCGGTGGCTCAGCCTATAATCCCAGCACTTTGGGAGGCCAAGGCGAGTGGATTGCCTGAGCCCGCAGG